TGATCTTCGATTTGACATCCATATTGTATATATGAAATAAATAAATTATATTTATCTTTATAATAATAAAAAATAATAATATTTATTAAAATGCATTAGAAAAATAAAATTATTTCTCAATTGATATATTTATATGTAATGTAGTTATATATTTTAAGTTAAAAAAATTACTATAATATAACACAAGTAAGTTGCACAAATAAAAAGTGTCATAATAAATATATAATAATATATATTCTTGTAAAAGGTATTTAAATTTTTACACTACTTTTTCTCACTAATTTTAGATTTTAAAAAAATAATTAGCAAGCACTCGTGTAATACACGGGTGTTGTACTAGTTGATCTGTATTACTATATAAGTATTCATATAAAAATTTATATTTTAAAATAATAACACCAAATACATTTTTATAAGCAAATTAGCTACTAATATTAAATTCCCCTATATGTAATTTCAAAACATCTGTTGTGCATAAGTGTCAGACTCGCACGTTTCTTACTCTTATTTGACACAACTATATGCTTGGGACTGATATGTATGGTTTTGCTATGAAGCCAGCACTTGGTTCTATAGTAGAGTCAACTTTCTATATACAACAAATAAACCTACCATATTAATAAAATTATATTAGTGTTATTTAAGTAATCAAAGAATATGGTAGGTATACTTGTTGTATATAGAAGATTGACTCCACTATGGAGCCAACTGTTGGCTTCATAGCAAAACCGCTGATACGTAATCAGGCTCGATTTGCCAACTAGATAATGTAATTATCATAATATTAAAATACATTGTTATTATTTCATTTTTATCAATTAATCTTATAATAATAATATCTTTCCTTTTTATTTCTTCCTAATTTATGGCATTTTTTTTTCTAATGCCAATGATTAAATTGCAAGATATATTCTCATTTAAATCTTGTTTATCTCATTTATCATATTTCGAAACAAAATATTTGAAGAAGAAACTACTTTGCCTAAAAAAATATGATTATTATAAATCTCAAAATATTTCATTGGTGCTTCAAAAACTTTATATCTTCAAATATACAACAATATAGTATTTGCAAAAAAAAAAATAAAAGAATATTGAGAAAATAAAATCAGATTTTGTTTTTCACTAAAAAAAATTGTTAGAATATATTTTGTACATATGGTTAGAATATGTTTTATATATATCTTGTAGAATTAGATTTAGGCTCATTATGTTCCTATATATATGTGTACATGTCTTGTGAATAACATAGAACTTATATTTTTCCTACTTTCTTATATGGTATCAGATTAGGTTTATAGTCCCATATAGGGTTAGTATTTTTCGCTCGTCTCCGACCATCTTCTATTCTCACCTCCCAGACCATCCTCTCCGGCTTCTTCCGGCGAGCCATAGTTCAAAATTTGGGCCCGTTCGGAGGCGCGTAGGACCCACACTCGCCGGAACATTGCGACAGTGCTGGCAGCTTCAGCCGGCGCGTGAGATTCACCCCCACCTCCGATCGCCGTGATTTTTCAGCCGTCGACTCCTCTCATCGGGGGCTACGTCCTGGTGTAGTCGGTTTTGGTTTTCGTGCTATTTTTAATTTCGGCCTTTACTGCTATTTTATCCGGTTTGTGATCCAGTTTGTGATTTTCTTTTGTCTTCGTACTGTTGCTGGTTGCTGTTGCTTATTTATTTTTTGGATGTTGATTCTTCTATGGTGTTCTGCCACATTTGCCATGTTCAGGGTCATATTGCTCCATTTTGTCCTACGGTAGTCTGCCACATTTGTCATGTTCAGGGTCATATTGCTCCATTTTGTCCTACGGTAGTATGCCACATTTGTCATGTTCAGGGTCATATTGCTACATATTGTCCAGCCAGATCACACCGTTCGAGAGGTTCATTCTCTCGACATCATGGGTCTTTCTCTACCGCCACTTCTTCTGTTACAACGGCTGTCACTACTGAGCCTCAGCATTCGTCTTACACTCTTCAAGACATAGAGGCTATTCTCAATCAGGTTCTTCTTTCCAATTCTCCTATGTCTGCTACCGGAGGTAAATCACATTGGTATTTTGATTCTGGCTGTTGCAATCACATGACCTCTAGCCCGCAGCTTTTGTCTTCCTCGTCTTCCGTAAACTTTTTACCTTTTATACACACTGCTAATGGTACTCTTATGAATGTTACTCGCACTGGTTTGATTTCTTCCCCTTCCTTGCATCTTCCCGACACATACTTCATTCCTGACTTGGCCTCGAATTTTATTTCTGTTGGTCAATTGGTTGACCAATGTCTTAATGTTATATTTTCATCTTCTGGTGTTCAGGTTCAGGATTCACAGACGGGACAGCTTCTCGGGAAAGGTCGCAAGACGAGTCGGTTATTTGAGCTTGAGTCACTTCATGTCCCTCGTTCTTACTTTTTTTTCTGCTTCTGCCACCGATAGTAAGTCTAGTTTCCAGTGGCATCTTCGTCTTGGGCATGCGTCTTCGAATAAAGTTCGTTCTTTATATAATAAGGGTCTTTTGGGTTCAGGTCATTTTGAGTCTTTTAGTTGTCTTCATTGCAAACTTGGGAAACAACCGGCTCTTTCTTTTTTTGATAGTTTGTCAACTGCAGATAAACCTTTTGGTTGGTACATTCTGATATTTGGGGTGCTTCTCTGAGTGGTTATCGGTATTTTGTTATTTTGTTGATGATTTTTCTCGTTTTACCTGGATCTATTTTCTCAAAAATCGTTCTGAGTTGTCCAGCATATATGTTCAATTTGCTAAAATGATTCTTACACAATTTTCTTGTCCTATAAAGGTCTTGCGTACTGACAATGCTCTTGAGTACAAAGATTCTACTTTTTTGAAATTTCTTTCTGATCAGGGCACCTTAGTTCAACGTTCGTGTCCATATACTTCCCAACAAAATGGACGAGCTGAACGTAAGCACCATCACATTCTTGATACTGTTCGTGCTCTTCTTCTTTCTGCTCAGTGTCCTGATCGTTTTTGGGGTGAGGCAGCCTTGACTGTTGTTTATGCTATCAATCGGTTACCCTCATCAGTCATTAGGGATGTCAGTCCTTTTGAGAGGTTGTACGTTCAGTCTTCTGATTATACTCAGTTACGTCCTTTGGTTGTGCTTGCTTTGTTCTCCTTCCGTCCCATGAGCGGACCAAATTAGAACCCCGAGCTCGTCTGTGTTTTTTTTAGGTTATGGGTTAGAACACAAAGGATTTAGGTGTTTGGATCCGATTTCTAATAGGTTGCGTATCTCGCGTCATGTTACCTTTTGGGAGCATACTACTTTTTCCTCCTTGTCTAAGTTCCACATTCCGTTTGATTCGGCGTCTCCTTTATTCATGTCTATTATTTCAGATCTTTTTCCAGATACAAATACATGCTCTGACTCTCAGCTCATTGACACGCCTGTCATGCCTCTGTCTTCTGAAGTGGCTCCACCTATGCATCCTGAACCGACGGTCTGTAATGAGCCCTCTTCTGGTTCTGTACTTTTGCCAGCTATTGATCAACGACGGTCGACTCGTGTAAGTCGTCCCCCTTCTCACTTACTTGATTATCATTGTTATTCGGCCATATTATCTCATCATGAGCCTAGGTCTTTTCGTGAGGCGAGTATTGATCCATTGTGGCAACAAGCTATGGCTGAGGAATTGCAGGCCTTAGACAAGACTCATACTTGGGATCTAGTTGATCTACCTGCTGGCAAGAAACCCATCGGATGCAAATGGGTTTACAAGATAAAAACAAATTCAGATGGGTCTATTGAGCTCTACAAAGCTCGTCTTGTTGCTAAGGGGTACTCACATGAGTATGGCATAAATTATGAAGAGACATTTGCACAGGTTGCTCGTCTTACTACCGTACACTGTTTACTTGCAGTTGCTGCAGTTCGTCGATGGTCTCTTTTACAGTTAGATATTAATAATGCCTTCTTGCACGGTACATTATCTGAGGAGGTTTACATGACTCCTCCTCCTAAGTTCTTGTCCTCTGGGAAGGTTTGTCGTCTGCGCCGAGCTTTGTATGGCTTGAAACAAGCGCCTCGTGCCTGGTACGCCACATTCAGTTCTGCATTGTTTCAGTTTGGTTTCACTATGAGTGATCACGATTCTGCCCTATTTCTTCGGCGCTCTTCATCTGGGGTCATTGTTTTGTTGCTCTATGTTGATGATATGATCATCACGGGGGATGATGTTTCGGGTATTTCCGACTTACAGGATTATCTTCGACAGCATTTTGAGATAAAGAGTTTGGGTCGACCTCGCTATTTTCTGGGGCTTGAGATTTATGATTCCTCTGATGGCTTCTATTTGTCTCAAGCCAAGTATGCCTCTGATCTTCTTGCTCGGGCCGGTCTCACTGATTGCCAGACAGCTTCCACACCTCTTGATTATGATATTCGTCTTACTCCATTGGATGGTTCTCTTCTTGAGGATCCTACGTTATATCGCCAGCTTGTTGGGAGTTTGATATATTTGACTGTCACTCGGCCTGATATAGCTCATGCTGTTCATATTGTGAGTCGGTTTATGGCTGCTCCGAGAACCACGCATCATTCTGCTGTGTTACACATCCTTCGCTATGTGAAGGGCACCTTATTGCATGGTTTACATTTCTCGGCCAGTTCTTCCTTGTCCCTTAGCGGCTACTCTGATGCAGATTGGGCTGGAGATCCTACTGGTTTGAAGCAAACCTTGGTTTCCCGTTTGAGTGCCGAGTCTGAGTATCGTGCTCTTGCTGATTCTACCGCAGAGCTATTATGGTTGCGTCGATTACTTGTTGATCTTGGTGTCCCTCAGTCATCCTCTACTGCTCTTTATTGTGATAGCCAGAGCGCTGTCAAGATGTCTCATAATGATACGTTTCATGAGCATACCAAACATATTGAGATTGATTGTCATTTTATTCGCTAACATGTTACTCATGAGACTGTAGGACTTGTTTCCGTCTCCTCTTCGGATCAGATAGCGGATGTCTTCACGAAGTCTCTCCTTCCCGGTCGCTTTTGTTTACTTCTTAGCAAACTCAAGTTGATATCTACTATACCACCTTGAGTTTGAGGGGGGTGTTAGAATATATTTTGTACATATGGTTAGAATATATTTTGTATATATCTTGTAGGATTAGGTTTAGACTCATTATGTTCATATATATATGTGTACATGTCTTGTGAATAATATAGAACATATATTTTTCCCACTTTCTTACAAAAATCATTGAATAAGTAATCCAAACAGTATAAGAAATTTAAGACGCATATCTTATATATTTTAGGGTTCATCGGTTTTATCATCTACTTTACGGGCTTTCATAAACTAAAAGAGATCATTGAATAAGTAATCCAAACATTATAAGAAATTTAAGACTCATATCTTATATATTTTATGGTTCTTCGATTTTACCATCTATTTTACCGACTTTCATAAATATTAATTTAATTTAATATCGTAACATAAATAATGGGTAAAACCAACTTTAATAAATACTAAAATTTTTGAAAATCTAATAACAATGTAAGGATGTTAAAACTAAGTGTAGAACTTTGTAAATACACTAATTAAAATTATAAAAAAATATTTATTTTTTTAAAATCCAGTATATCATGCATTTTGGCCGGTAATTATTTTTGTATGAAACCGTTATAAACTGGTATTTTAGTCAAAATGGTATTTAGAGGATTACTGAGTGAGTATTAGATACTACCTATAATATCGGTCAGTACGGTATGATATTTAAAACATAGTGTTTGCGAACATACATTTCAATTCGTTTATTTTGTTAGCAAGAGTTAAATGTGTGATCTTTAACATTAGCATATTAATTATTGCAAATTATACTATCAATTAAGTGTATTTAGGTAATAAGCACATATATATATATATATATACTTTTATATTTTTCCTTATCTAATTTAATGTGTATTTATGTTTTATACCAGCTTTCAATTGTAAGTATTCGTGAGTGTAATGTCGTCACCTAAAATTAATAATATAATTATCAAGCTAGACGACGCTCAGTGCGCAACGACTTTTACTTACGCGGCCCTTCTAGGTGCTTATTGACATAAATAAAAACTATTATACAAAGTTAGACATGGTCGCGAGCCGAACCGACCCGTGACCCGACCTGCGAACCGACCCGCGAACCGGCACCGACACCGACCCGAACCGACATCTTAAGGGCCGGTTCGTTGAACCGGGAACCGTAGGGCCGCGGTTCGGTCTCAGTTCATACACTCTTTGTTTTTGACCCGGCAGGCCGGGTCGGGTCGGGTCGGGCCGAGTCGGATCACATTGCTTTTTTTTTTTTATTTTTAAGGGCCGTACCGGCTCAGAACTGTCCGAGACCCGCCAGGCTGGTGAACCGGCGGTTCCGGGCCGATTCTATGAACCGGCCCATATTTTTTTCGGGCCAGTTACGGGCCATAATGTTGAGGCCCGTCGACCCGACAGGCCGGGCCGGGTCGCGGCCCGACACCTGGTCATTCCTATACAAAGTAAAATTGAACACTAAAATTAATTCCTTAAACTTCAAAAAATAAATAATGCAATTAAAAAATATGATGTTCATGTACAATACTCTAGCGTAATTTTAAACTTACAATTAAAACAATTTTTTTTTATGTTTATTTTTTAAATGTTCTGATGTAAACATTTCATATCTCAACCGCGCAGTACACGAGTGTGGTACTCATATATCTTTATAAAGCAATACATACTACTACCAAATAACCAAAACAACTATTATTCATCATTGGTTATTAGAACTTAGATTTGATTGCAAAACAAGGATATATATACTATAATGGCCTAAAATGATGGGAAAATGTGGCAATTTGCTCACTAGTTTTATTTTACGGTAAATTCCTACTAAATCCCTAATCCCTTTTTTATTTGCCTTGTCAGTCCCCCAAGTTAATTAATTTCCTCTGCACTCCCTCTTACACATTTCTCTTTCCACTTCACTCCCCATATATATACTAATGTTATTATTTTTCATTTATTTTAGCTGAAACCTTTTTTAATTCCATTTTCGGTCTCTCTCTCTCTCTCTCTCTCCTATTCTCTCTTCCTCTCCGTCTTTGTCTCTCTGTTATTTTTCACTCTGTTTCTTTTTAATTTTCGCCCTCGCCGAGCTGCTCTCTGTTCATCGTTGTCCGTCGTCATCTTCATCGTCCATCGTTCATCAGCATCGCCTTCGTCTCTCGCCGTTCGTCTCTCTGGGAAGAAATGGCCGGCTCCAAAAAGAAGACTGCATGCAAACCGTCCTCCTCCTCTCCATCCAAACCTTCCACCTCCTCGTCACCTAG